TATTTATTTATTTATTTATTTATTTATTTATTTATTTATTTATTTATTTATTTATTTATTTATTTATTTAATGTTCATAACATAAACATGACGGATCTGGATTTCCATGCTTTTGCAATTCTATGCTATCTTAGAGCGACTGAATAACCTATTTTACAACTGGTAGGTTAGTCCGTTTCTTTAAATCAGTTTCAGAAGTGATTTTTGACCAGTTAAGTAACGGTATTAATATATTTATAAACTGGGAATGGACTAGAATGATTACTCAAGATTACGTAATTTTGTAAAATACAACTACAAGAAAATCAACCACAACTTTATTTCTAACCGATTACGGTAAGTTATAGTTTTTTATACCGTATAAAAATATTTACGTGTGATTTCTTAAAAAAAACCAAAACTCCTACCTTCTGAAGTTCTATCCGAAACGTTATCTCCATATCTGTATTTACCCAGAGAAGCTGGCTGAGCAAGCTTCGGAAACTGACGACAAAGTTGCATTTTTTCCTCGCTGACGCGATCAGTTTCCACGGTTTCGGTCGCTTTTCCGCTTGGTGTCAGAGGATGTGGCAAAGCTTTACCTCTTTCGCTCGTGAGCTCAGTCAAACCTGTTTTTTCTGAGCTTTTCGTCGACACTGATTGCGTAGAGGCCATCGATTCGGTTTGAATTCGCTCGACGGTTTCCGAAAACTGGTACTTCTCTTCCGACAAGTCTACTCGACCGCCTTCGGTGACCACTTCGGAAACTTCGTCTATCAAGGCAATATTTCATAACATGTTTGAAGAAGAAACTAATATTTTAAGATTAACATTAGATACGATATAAATGTGCTCGATTTATGTAACATGACAAAAAATGCATCTGATAGGAAAGAACATTAAGGTGATGCTAAAACCTACTGAAGTGTTGAGAAAACTGCTCGAAACTTTGAAGAATTTATCTGCGATCAACGAAGCATTCAAATCACAAAACTGTTTTTTCTAAAGCACAAAAGTAACAGTATTTTTTCATACAATGCTATTTTTGTTGCGTCAAAAAGTTCTAAATTTTTTTAATATAGTAGGCAGGATTTTTCAGGTCTTCGTCTGGTTTTATAGCTAAAATAGCTAAAAGAAAATATTTATTGAAAAACTGGGTTAGAGAACTAAACTATTAACTATTGAACTCTTGTAAGAAAACAGATATTAACAGAAAATATTAACATAGGTAAATCTAAAACGTGTTTTTCATTCTTACAGGATTAGCCAGGCAATCATTTGCATTGATAACTTGTTCTCTCCGAATCAAGCCTCTAAACTCCCGTAGTGATTAGCAAAGATTGACAACTGTAATTGGCAGAATCCGCATTCTTCAACGGTAACGATGGTCATAAATATTTAACAGGTGCCTTGAGCTGTTGCTCTGGATTATCGTAAGCGTACGGTTAGCTTTTTTCTGCGTCAAAGTGCGAATCCTGGAAAAATACAGGTCGCAGATAGTTGTTGGTACAAGCAAGTGTCCGTGGTGGGGATTATTTGCTTATTTTTTTTTGAAGGAAAGTGCGTTTCGTCTCTTTGGCAGGAGCGGCGAACGATGTAGCACATTTCACGGGTACAAATGCATGTCAGCCGCGTAAACAAGGAAATTGTTCAAATAGATGAAC